CACTGCCCCCTCCCCCCCCGTCCCCCCTCCCAAGGGAGACTCCTAGTGTACCTGTACCCCCCAGTATGTTGGTAATAGTCACGGGAATGGTAACTGTAACCGTAATTGTAACTGTAATTGTAATTGTGAATGTGTGTACTCAATGGAGTTGTGTATATCACGTGGAAACCCACAATAAAAATCTATTTTAAAAAAAAGAAAAGAAAAGAAAATGAAAATGAACAAAATCTGGCTACCAGTATTAAAAACTCAAAAATTACAACAGCAAAACAACAGAGAGTAAACAAATCAGGCACATCAAATCACTCTCAACAAAAGATTCCCCCCAGGCACTTCCAAGCCATTAAATGCTAATCAAGGTGGTCAGTTGAAGCATTCACACCTAGCTCCAGCAGACAAAAGTCCTTTGTCCCACCCTGGTCATTCCACAGATATATAAACCCATTTTCCTACTTCCAACAGACCTCACTACCTCTGAGGATGCTTGCCATAGATGCAGGCGAAACGTCAGGAGAAAATGCCTCCAGAACATGGCCATATAGCCCGGAAAAACCTACAATAACCCAATATCACCATCCTCCAGGAGCACTACAATTATTACGTACATGGTATGTTGCAGATTTTTCCCACTTTACAAGGAAATAAAAGCTTCGAGACAGTGACACAAGTAAGGTTGCCGAGAGCCAATATGAAAGCCTGTTTGAGAACCCCGTTTTATTACTCTTAGTCTTCCAAAGCTCCTTGCTAATGGCTACTGAGCAGCCAGAGAAATGAGCTAATATAATATAGACTGTGCCAGAACAAGATGTCAGTGTTATTGCAGCTTTTATTTCTTTTCTCCGCTCAGAAAAAAGAAAAGCACTTGACATTGGACATATGTTACTCATTCAGGAAAGCCATGTGCAACAATTATGAACCTTCATTCTGCTTTTTCAGCACAGAAGCTGAGATTTGAATGGAGAAACGCTAGAGCAAAATCTTTGGTTAATAGTTCTGACCTGGAAATCTCCAGCCTTGGGGATGTTTGTGAAACAGTCTTCCTGCAGACGCTTCTAGAATGCTAAATCAGACTTGCTTTCCTGTTGTTGTTGGTTTCTTCTACAAGTATTCCCTGAATCATTCCTACTTTCTTTCATCCTATACTCTGTAGCCCAGCCTTCCCAAACCCTCCAGATGTCTTGGCACTGTAATTTCCATAACCCAGCCAGCAGAGCTCTGACAAAGGGAGGTACTCCCATCCAACACATCTGGAAGGTACTAGGTTAAGGGAGCCTGCTGTATCATCTAATGCAGGGGTCCTCAAACGTTTTAAACCGGGGAGCAGTTCACTGTGCCTCAGACCGTTGGGAGAGCTGGACTATAGTTTTTTTTTAAAAAAATCAATGAAAAAATTCCTATGCACATTGCACATATCTTATTTTGCTGTGTGGAAGGGCCCTTAGAGGGGGTTCTTTCTAGCCCTCTTTAGGCAGTAATTCCCGGAGCAGAGAATGGGAAATCTTCCTATTTCTAGTCTGAACAAAATCTGGCTACCAGTATTAAACAAAACTCTAAAATTATAACTGTAAATAAAGAACAACACTCAAACACAGGGGAACTCCAGACAAGAAACAATCAGGGCCAGCTAATCACCTCTCAACAAAGGATTCTCCCTAAAAACTGTCAGTCTATGAAATGGTAATCAAGGTGGCCAATTGAAACATTCATACCTACCTCCAACAGACAAGAGTTCTTTCTCCCACCCTGGATCTTCCACAATTTTCCTAGTTAATTATTATTATTATTATTATTATTATTATTATTATTAAACTTTATTTGTACCCCGCTAGCATCTCCCGAAGGATTCGATGTGGCTTACACAGGCCGAGGCCTCAACACACAACACAACAGTACAATCTAAGCAAATCAAACAATTAAAAACAGAATAAAGCAAAATAAACAACAGGCACAATACACTAAAACACAATAAAACTGGGCCGGGCCAGAGAATGGGTACAAGATTAAAAGTGCTGATGTGACAGGAGGTGTATATAGGGCTTCTAGGCAAGTGCGATGTGCGATGTGTAGCAATCATTGGTTCTGATAAAGTGCTTATGGGACTTGGTAGTGGAGATTTCCTAATCTGGGAAGGGGCATCGGAAAAGCCAGGTCTTCAAGTTCTTTCTGAAGACAGCCAATGTAGGGGCCTGTCTAAGGTCTTTGGGGAGGGTGTTCCAGAGTCGGGAGGCCACCACGGAAAAGGCCCTGTCCCGCGTCCCCACCAAGCGCGCTTGCGACGCCGGTGGGATCACGAGCAGGGCCTCTCCAGATGACCGAAGTGAACATGTGGGTTCATAGATGGAAATGCAGTCCTTTACATGAAGCCCAGTTGTGTCTAACTCTGGGGTGTGGTGCTCATCTGCATTTCTAAGTCGAAGAGCCGGCGTTGTCCGTAGACACCTCCAAGGTCATGTGGCCGGCATGACTGCATGGAGCGCCAGGGCAGCCTCCCTTGGCTGGCTCACGCTGCCCATCGGGCCTGATGGGCAGCCTGAGCCTGCCAAGGGAGGAGCAGCCCTGCGCAGCCTACTCGCGCGTAAAGCACCTCGCGAGGTGCTTTACGCGCAAGTAGGCCACGCGGAGCAGCTGCCCTTGGCTGGCTCACACTGCCCATCAGGCCTGGCGGATAGCGTGAGCCAGCCAAGGGAGGGGCACTGTGTGGGGGGGGGGCGCTCCTCCGCTGCGGGCCGGATAAGTGCCCTTGGTGGGCCGGAAGTGGCCCACGGGCCGTAGTTTGAGGACCCCTGATCTAATGCGAGACTACTAAGAATTAATTATGACTCTGAACCATGGGGAATTGCAAATGTTGCTCCAGGACAGGAGAATAAGAGAGAGATAAACACTTCCGGCACAGCACAGAGCTTGTTAACTGAGTGGATGACAATATGCTCTTTTCTGGTCGTGTCAGCTATCAAAGCCAAACTGCGCACATAGACAAATGTAATTCGGTGTGCTGTCTCCCATATTCATTATACTTACATGTCTAGGAGAATACTAATATCACTCTTTTGTGAATGATGGATTCCTTTTTGCCTACATGTGGAGCTTGATGCAGTGAATGAATTCCACACTTTCCACACTTGTTATTCAGAAGTCCTATTCCAACTCAACAGCAGAACTAGGTACATAATCCTAAGTAGAGTCACTTGCTGGTTTTCAACCAAAAACAGAAAAGAGCCTACTAGAGAGAAGTTCCACTCTACATATTTGCCCGATTGGAAAGCCTAGTCACCAAGTGGACTTTCCATCAATGTAATTCATTCACTCGTTGCCATCCCAAGAGTGTCCCTCTTTTACTCCAGTGCCAAAGAGAGCAAACAACATCACTACAGCGTGGACTTATGGAAACATTGCATGAATGAAAACCTTAATGAGGTTGTAGGAAAAACATACAGTAGCTCCACGTAATAAAAGCATGCTTCAACAGAGTCAAGATTTGCATTATTTCCATGTTAATGTCACAACCTAATGCAGATCAATTGAAAAGACCTGGAAAATGCTAAGACCCTCTTGTGCCGTCACACCCAGACACTATAAAGTTAAAACTAAAATGTGCTTCTCTCTTTATCCAGGTGAACTGCGGGTGCCTTACTTAGAAACTCAGGATTCTCAGCAACTGAAGCCACTCCAGATTTGAACATCAAACAGAATATTTATTTCTCAAAGTCCTTGACAGACTTGGCACAGCTTGTTGAAGTTACAAACACAAACAGTCAACTTGTGAAATTATATAGATGTCCCTTCCTTCCTTTTTTCTTCAGTTGCTAAGTTAACTTCCCCCCAACGGTAGAAAAATCCTGGGATTCTTTACCCTAGCCCTGAGCTGCTATTTTTAGAAAGAGCAGGTCTTTCCCTATCTAAGCTCAAGGTGAGAGATATTGACAAGCGGGAATGTGTCCAGAGGAGGGCGACTAAAATGATCAAGGGTCTGGAGAACAAGCCCTATGAGGAGCGGCTTAAGGAGCTGGGCATGTTTAGCCTGAAGAAGAGAAGGCTGAGAGGAGATATGATAGCCATGTATAAATATGTGAGAGGAAGCCACAGGGAGGAGGGGGCAAGCTTGTTTTCTGCTTCCTTGGAGACTAGGACGCGGAACAATGGCTTCAAACTACAAGAAAGGAGATTCCATCTGAACATGAGGAAGAACTTCCTGACTGTGAGAGCCGTTCAGCAGTGGAACTCTCTGCCCTGGAGTGTGGTGGAGGCTCCTTCTTTGGAAGCTTTTAAACAGGGGCTGGCTGGCCATCTGTCAGGGGTGATTTGAGTGCAATGTTCCTGCTTCTTGGCAGGGGGTTGGACTGGATGGCCCAGGGGTCTCTTCCAACTCTTTGATTCTATGATTATATGATTCTATGAAGTAATAGAGCCTCTCCCAATGACAGAGAAATCCTGAGATATTCTCTGCCTCAGCGCTGAGCTGCTATCTTTAGAAAAAGCAGGTCTTCCCCTATCCGAGCTCAGCACCAGTTTCAAAGGCAAGAGGGTAAGTATTCACGATGGCCTGTCCGAGCTGCCTAGCTTGACCACAAGCACATCTGAGCCCTTGACCGCTCCAGCTGGAGGTCGGCTGTGACCAGCAGTGCTGCAGCATTTGAAGAGGCACGAATGGAGGGCAAAAGGGAGAAGCATGCCAAGAGGAAGGCACGTCAAACCAACCCCGACTGAGACCTCATTCCACCTGGAAACCAATGCCCTCACTGCGGAAGAAGATGCACAGCCACATACGGACCCACAAGAATACTGGAAGACAATCCTCCTCGGAAAACGAGGGATTGCCTAAGTAAGTCTCCTCAAGTGTCACTCTCAAAATATCTTAAAAAGATACACCTCCAGTGAAGATCTGAATAGAAAAACAAAGTCACACAAAATCCTTCAGACACTCCAAGCCAAGGGCATTATAGTCCTGAGCATTGCCATCCCACAGTTTCTTTACCTGTAAACTTCCATGGGGACTTGCTCACCTTTCATGGCTGAAGGATATGTGGACAGGCGTTGGCACCACCATTTGCAAATCCTCGTCTTCTTTCTCTCGTCCGCGGAGGCACACAAGCTGCAATTCTCCCAGGCCAAAGTAGGACACCTCGTGCCAATTTCTAACTGATGGGTAAATCAGAGGCATTGACTTAAGTCCTAGGACCTCACCATACTAGCCAGATTTTCAGTTCTCTCTGTGTTACCATTTTCAAAATTCTTCTTTGAAGACATTAGTACTTTTTATACTAATTTATGCTGTTATTTTTTAGGAATATAAAATGCAATGTGTATAATGGCTTGGTCTAAAAATTTGATGAATTTAAGGTACAATTAATTAATTAATTAATTAATTTTACATATTTAGAACTTTTATATACCGGTCTTCTCGACCTCCAAAGAGGGACTCAGGCTGGTTCACAACAAAAGATTCATAAACAATAGTTTAAAACATCCCATCCCATAATACACTAATACATAATACATAAAATAAATTAAAATACAATCATATAATTACATAAGGCCAAGTCGTCAGAATAAAATCACAATTCATCACCATCCGTCCATGTGTTCAAGGGTTATTGACTCACTCATCAAATGCTAAATTCCAAAGCCAAGTTTTCACCTGCTTTCTAAAAGTCAGGAGAGAAGGGGCAGTTCTAGTCTTCAGTGGGAGAGAGTGCCAGAGCCGAGGGGCCACCACCGAGAAGGCCCTGTCCCTCGTCCCAACCAGACGCGATTGCGAGGGTGGTGGGACCGAGAGCAGGGCCCCTCCAGAAGATCTTAACAACCTTGATAGTTCATAGGGGAGAATCCGTTCGGACAGGTAAACTGGGCCAGAGTCGTTTAGGGACTTTAATTTAATTTAAAAAATAATTTTCTCTATAAAAGCTTATTACAGTGGCCAAGATCCTGAAGTGTAAAGAACAGCTTTGCTTTTACACATTAACGAGGGGAGCAAAGGAAAACCAATACAAATAGAAGAATCTAATGACTTTAGTAAAAGGAAACAAAATATTTCATTTCATCTGGCCCTTCATAAAGCAAAACAGAAGTGAAACACCGAGAAAAAGAAAATAAAACCAGTAGGTAAAAGTCTATCTATCACTTAGGCCCCTTCTACACTGACATTGGTAAAGGTAAAGGTTGTCCCCTGACATTAAGTCCGGTTGTGTCTGACTCTGGGGTGTGGTGCTCATCTCCATTTCTAAGCTGAAGAGCCGGCATTGTCCGTAGACACCTCCTAGGTCATGTGGCCAGCATAACTGCATGGAGCACCGTTACCTTCCCGCCGGACTGGTACCTATTGATCTACTCACTTTTGCATGTTTTCAAACTGCTAGGTTGGCAGAAGCTGGGGCTGACAGCGGAAGCTCATGACGCTCTTCGGATTCGAACCTACGATCTTTCGGTCAACAAGCCCAGCAGCTCAGCGCTTTAACCCACTGCACCACTGGGGGCTACACTGACATATAATTCAGATTATCAAATAAAATAATCCACATTGTCTGCTTTGAACTGGATTATCTGAGTCTCCTCTCAGCCTCCTCTTCTTCAAGCTAAACGTGCCCAGCTCTTTAAGCCACTCCTCATAGGGCTTGTTCTTCAGACCTTTGATCATCTTAGTTGTCCTCCAGTATCCAGAGGGCCCTGCCTTTTACTAGTCTTTTGTTCACACACACACGGACACACACACGGACACACACACATATATATATTAAAATCAATCTTGAATATACCCCACCAACTTACCTTCTAAGAGGTCCAAGTAGACTAAGAAGGCAGCATACACCCCACTTCTGTCAGCCACATCCAGCGACATCATCCTTGTAAACTGAAATAACAAAAGGAAGTGAAGCATGTAAAAGCTCCCCAGGAGCAGTTATATGGTATGCAGCCCCCCCCAAAAAAATCTCAGACTGTATCCATTACATTTTTGGAAATGTTTTCCCATAAACGGCAGGGACTATTGGCAGACCTCCTCCGAAAGCATGACACACACAGTTTCTTTCTAGAAAAGAGTGGCAGGAGGAAGGCTTGCCAAAAGATTTATTGTAGGTAAAGTCTGTTAAAGGACTCAGGGATCATATTTTGTAAAAGGCCAATGAAAGTGTCATCCAAATGTCCTTTCGAGTGCAAAAGATATACAAACATTTTACCAAAATCACTTGTTTGGGAAATAAATTCTGTCCTTAGCTTTCTGGCCATGGAGAACTTGGTAAGAAAGAATAATAATAAGTATTATTATTATTATTATTATTATTATTATTATTATTATTATCTGAAACACAACAAGATGAGTCCACAGCAAACAAGGTCTCTCTGCTGGCTGTTGTATTGGATCACATGTCAGACACTTCCCAAGTGTCTAGGACTGTGTCATGTATCAGCGAATAATGCGCGCAGATCCCAGTAAGGTGGCCTTCTTCAGCTGGCAGATGGTAATTTTGTCAACGCCTCTTGTGTTTAAGTGCAGGCCAAGGTCTTTAGGCACTGCATCCAGTGTGCCGATCACCACTGGGACCACCTTTACTGGTTTGTACCAGAGTCTTTGCAGTTTGATCTTTAAATCCTCATATCATGTCAGCTTTTCCAGTTGTTCCTCTTCAGTCCTGCTGTCACCTGGGATTGCGACATTGACGATCCATACTTTGTTTTTTAACACAACCGTGAGGTCAGGAGTATTGTACTCCAAATCTCTGTCTGTCTGAATTCGGAAGTCCCAGAGGAGTTTGGCGTGTTCATTCTCTGTAACTTTTTTTGGCTTGTGATCCCACCAGTTCTTTGTAGCAGGCAGATGGTATTTGTGGCACAAGTTCCAATGAATCATCTGAGCAACAGTGTTATGCCCCTGCTTGTAGTCTGTCTGTGCGATCTTTTCGCAGCAGCTGAGGGTGTGATCTATTATTTCATCTGCTTCCTTGCAGAATCTACATTTGGGGTCTGTTCTCAACTTTTCAATCCTGGCTTTGATGGCATTGATTCGAATGGCTTGTTCTTGGGCTGCCAAGAACAAGCTGTGCAGATGTCTCATTGGACGGCAACTCCTATGATTCCTCACTTTTGGCAATGGAGAATAGGGCTGGTGTTGGCTACCTTTCCCACCTGTGTCAAGTTATCTGTACTGCTAAGGGCGCCCTGGTGAATCCCCACCCCCACCCCCGTTCAGAAGAATGTGCGCATTCAGAAGAAGACCTACAAGCCACTCTAAACACCATTGCAGAAGCATACGAGAAGCTCGGCCTTCATTGAACATTGAGAAAACCGAAGTGCTCTTCCAGCAGTCACCAGCCAATCCCTCTCCAATGCCAAAGATACAACTTAATGGTGTAACAATAGAAAATGGTGATCATTTCCGCTACCTTGGCAGCCACCTCTTCACCAAAGTCAACACTGATACCGAAATACAACACCGCCTGAGCTCTGCGAGTGCAGCATTCTTCCGAATGAAGCAGGGAGTGTTTAAGGACCGGGACATCTGTAGGGATACCAAGGTGCTTGTTTAGTATCCTCCCAACCCTGCTGTACGCCTGCGGGATGTGGTCTACAGACGTCACATGCAACTCCTGGAACGATTCCATCAGCGCGCCTCCGAAAAATCCTCCAAATCGCTTGGGAAGACAAGCAGACAAATTTTCAGCGTGCTGGAAGAAGCAAAGACCACCAGAATTGAAGCTATGGTCCTCCGCCATCCACTCCACTGGACCAGCATGTTGTCCGAATGCCCGACCACCGTCTCCCAAAGCAGTTGCTCTATTCCGAACTCAAGAACGGAAAACGGAATGTTGGTGGGCAGGAAAAGAGACTTAAAGATGGGCTCAAAGCCAACCTTAAAAACTGTGGCATAGACACCGAGAACTGGGAAGCCCTGGCCCTTGAGCGCCCCAGCTGGAGGTCGGCTGTGACCAGCAGTGCTGTAGAATTTGAAGAGGCACGAATGGAGGGCGAAAGAGAGAAACGTGCCAAGAGTTAGGTGCATCAAGCCAACCCCGACCGGGACCGCCTTCCACCTGGAAACCAATGCCCTCACTGAGGGAGAAGATGCAGATCAAGAATAGGGCTCCACAGTCACCTACGGACCCACCGTAAATACACTAATCCTGGACGACTATCCTCCTCGGACAACGAGGGATCACCTAAGTAACTAAGTAAGAATTCCCCCCATTCCTGGCACTGTGCCATGCTGTAATCTATTGATTGGACTTGATGTCTTCTGTATATTAAGCACCAAAAGTCAAAAAAGTAAAGGCTGCAGTTGTAAAGTTCGCATTTCATAGGCTTGAGTGATTTTAATACTTTCCCAGACAGCTGATTATTTGGATTACGCAACCAGAAAAATAAGCTTTCTTTGAACAAGTCCTAAGAGGGTTATTACGGCAAAAATCACATCAGATCATAGACTGACAAAAATATGTGATCCCTGACCCAAACTCAGACAGATAACAGTTCTCTACCATTCTCAAAAACTTGCACATTCCTACTTCGAAATGAGAATTATCTACCCAATGTTACCATTTATGAGTTCTTAACAAGCATCCACACTGGTCATGAGAGTTTTTCAGGCTGTATGGCCATGTTCCAGTGGCATTCACTCCTGACGTTTCACCTCCATCTGTAGCAGACATCCTCAGAAGTTTGTTCAGAAGTCTGTTGGCAATGAGGCAAGTGGGGTGTATATGTACCTGTGGAATGTCCAGGATGGAGAAAGAACCCTTGTCTGTTGAAGAAGTGTGAATGTTGCAATTAGCAAGCTTGAGTAGTATTGAGTAGCCTTGCTGCTGCAAAGATTGGCTGTTGCTGTCTGGGGGCATGTAGCGTACCTGGATTTCAGTAAGGCCTTCGACAAGGTCCCCCATGACCTTCTGGCAAGGAAACTAGTCCAGTGTGGGCTAGGCAAAACTACGGTGAGGTGGATCTGTAATTGGTTAAATGGACGAACCCAGAGGGTGCTCACCAATGCTTCCTCTTCATCCTGGAAAGAAGCGACGAGCGTAGTGCCGCAGGGTTCCCTCCTGGGCCCGGTCCTGTTCAACCTCTTTATTAACGACTTGGATGAAGGGTTAGAAGGCAGGATCATCAAGTTTGCAGATGACACCAAATTGGGAGGGATAGCCAATACTCCAGGGGACAGGAGCAGGATTCAAAACAATCTTGACAGATGGCCCAAAACTAACAAAATGAAGTTCAACAGGGACAAATGCAAGATACTTCACTTTGGCAGGAAAAACAAAATGCAAAGATACAGAATGGGGGACAACGCCTGGCTCGAGAGCAGTACGTGTGAAAAAGATCTTGGAGTCCTCGTGGACAACAAGTTAAACATGAGCCAACAATGTGATGTGGCGGCAAAAAAAGCCAATGGGATTTTGGCCTGCATCAATAGGAGCATAGTGTCTAGATCTAGGGAAGTCATGCTACCCCTCTCTTCCGCTTTGGTTAGACCACACCTGGAATACTGTGTCCAATTCTGGGCACCACAATTCAAGAGAGATATTGACAAGCTGGAATGTGTCCAGAGGAGGGCGACTAAAATGATCAAGGGTCTGGAGAACAAGCCCTATGAGGAGCGGCTTAAAGAGCTGGGCATGTTTAACCTGAAGAAGAGGTGGCTGATAGGAGACATGATAGCCATGTATAAATATGTGAGAGGAAGTCACAGGGAGGAGGGAGCAAGCTTGTTTTCTGCTTCCCTGGAGACTAGGATGCGGAACAATGGCTTCAAACTACAAGAGAGGAGATTCCATCTGAACATGAGGAGGAACTTCCTGACTGTGAGAGCTGTTCAGCAGTGGAACTCTCTGCCCTGGAGTGTGGTGGAGGCTCCTTCTTTGGAGGCTTTTAAACAGAGGCTGGATGGCCATCTGTCAGGGGTGATTTGAATGCAATATTCCTGCTTCTTGGCAGGGGGTTGGACTGGATGGCCCATGAGGTCTCTAGGATTCTATGATTTCAATGGCTTCTCTGTGTAGTCTGACACACAGAAAACCACAGCAACCCAGTGATTCCAGCCATGAAAGCCTTCGACAATGCACTGAGTATCTTTGATAATAATACAAGGCTGTACTAGATACCACCAAAGTCCTAGCAGTATCCTATTCCCAACCAGAAGTACCTGTTTCATTCTACATCTATATAAATAACTAGCTGTCCCCTGCCACGCGTTGCTGTGGCCCGGTCTGTTGATCTGGAAAATAAAGTAATGAGAAAGTGTTGGTTTCTAATATATGTAATTTATTTCTGCTTGTTGATAAACAGTATTTCTTGCTGTTTCTTTGTCAGTGTTGATGTGGAGATTGTCTGATTTTCCTACTCTGGAACATGCAACATATCATTGTCCTTCTTTAAGGGTCCCTTTCAAATCTATGATACTATATCTCTGTGTGTGAGAATCATATCTATCTATCTGTCTATCTATCTATATTTATGACTGGATGGCTCTTTGTCAGGAGGACTTTGATTACGTTTTCTTGCCCTGATGAAGGGAGTTGGACTGGATGGCCTTAACTATTTCTGTTGGTCATGGGGTTCTGTGTGGGAAGTTTCCCCCAATTCGTTGGTGGAGTTCAGAATGCTCTTTGATTGTAGGGGAACTATAAATCCCAATAACTACAACTCCCAAATGTCAAGGTCTATTTCCCTCAAACTCCATCTGAGTTCATATTTGGGCATATGGAATATTCGTGCCAAGTTTGGTCCAGATCCATCATTTTTTGAGTCCACAGTGCTCTCTGGATGTAGGTGAACTACAACTCCCAAACTCAAAAAAACAAAAGTACCAATGAATGAAATGTCAATGGCTACCAAATCCTTCTGGTGTTTTGTGCTGGTCATGGGAGTCCTGTGCGCCATGTTTGGTTCAATTCCATCATTGGTGGAGTGCAGAATGCTTTTTGATTGTAAGTAAACTATACATTCCAGCAACTACAACTCCCAAATGACAAAATCATAATTTTTTGAGTGATGGTCACTCCTTGTGTTGTGAGACATTTTGTTGCCAAATTTGGTGTGATTTCGTTCATTGGTTCTTTTGTTTTTAAGGAACTCATTATGCACAGAGCATTTTTATATATATAGAAAATGTAATGTTCATTTGTGGGATTAACAGAACTCAAAAACAACTGGACAAATTGACACCAAATTTGGACACAAGACACCTAACAACCCAATGTATGTCCTTCACTCAAAAAAAAGTGATTTTGTCATTTGGGAGTTGTAGTTGCTAGGATTTATAGTTCACCTACAATGAAAGAGCATTCTGAACCCCACCAACGATGGAATTGAACCAAACCTGGCACACAGTTCTCTCATGGCCAACAGAAAATACTGGAAGGGTTTGGTGGGCAGTGTCCTTTGGTTTTGGAATTGTAGTTCACCTACATCCAGAGATCACTGTGGATTCAAACAATGATGGATCTGGACCAAAGTCTACACGAATACTCAATATGCCCAAATGTGAACACTGGTGGAGTTTGGGGGAAATCAAATCTTGACATTTGGGAGTTGTAGTTGCTGGGATTTATAGTTCACCTACAATCAAAGAGCATTCTGAACTCCACCAATGATGGAATTGAACCAAACATGGCATACAGGATTTCCGTGACCAACAGAACACACTGGAAGGGTTTGGTGGGCACTGACCTTGAGTTTGGGAGTTGTAGTTCACTTACATCTAGAGAGCACTGTGGACTCAAACAATGATGGATCTGGACCAAACTTGACACAAATATTCCATATGCCCAAATATGAACACAGATGGAGTTTGGAGGAAATAGACCTTGACTTTTGGGATTTGTAGTTACTGGGATTTATAGTTCACTACAATTAAAGAGCATTCTGAAACCCACAAACGACAGAAATAGGGCAAACTTCCCACACAGAACCCCCATGACCAACAGAAAATACTTAAGGCCATCCAGTCCAACTCTTTTCACCAGGGCAAGAAAATGTAATCAGAGCCCTCCTGACAAAGAGCCATCCAGTCATAAATATAGATAGATAGATATGATTCTCACACACACAGAGATATAGTATCATAGATTTGAAAGAGACCCTTAAAGAAGGACAATGATATGTTGCATGTTCCAGAGTAGGCAAACCAGACACTCTCCACATCAACACTGACAAAGAAAAAACAAGAAATACTGTTTACTCACAAGCATAAAGGAATTACATATATTACAAACCAACACTTTCTCATTTCTTTGTTTTCCAGATCACCAGACTGGGCCACAGCAACGCGTGGCTGGGGACAGCTAGTACGTTATAAAATCCATATTACCTGCTTTCAACTTGATTATATGGCAGTGTAAAGGTAAAGGTAGTCCCCTGACATTAAGTCCAGTCATGTCTGACTCTGGGGTGTGGTGCTCATCTCCATTTCTAAGCCAAAGAGCCGGCGTTGTCAATAGACACCTCCAAGGTCATGTGGCCAGCATGACTGCATGGAACGCCGTTACCTTCCCGCCGGAGCGGTACCTATTGATCTACTCACATTTGCATGTTTTCGAACTGCTAGGTTGGCAGAAGCTAGGGCTGACGGCGGAACCCGGAATCGAACCTGCGACGTTTCGATCAACAAGCTCAGCAGCTCAGTGCTTTAACCCACTGTGCCACCAGGGGCTCCTGGCAGTGTAGACTTATACAATTCGGTTCAAGGCAGATAATGTAGATTATTTGTTCATTCGTTCAGTCGTCTCCGACTCTTCGTGACCCCATGGACCAGCCCACGCCAGAGCTCCCTGTCGGCCGTCACCACCCCCAGCTCCTTCAAGGTCAGTCCAGTCACTTCAAGGATGCCATCCATCCATCTTGCCCTTGGTCGGCCCCTCTTCCTTTCCTTCCACTTTCCCCAGCATCATTGTCTGCTCTAGGCTTTGCTGTCTCCTCATGATGTGGCCAAAGTACTTCAACTTTGTCTCTAGTATCCTTCCATCCAATGAGCAGTCGGGCTTTATTTCCTGGAGGATGGACTGGTTGGATCTTCTCGCAGTCCAAGGCACTCTCAGAACTTTCCTCCAACACCACAGCTCAAAAGCATTCTATCTTCCTTCTCTCAGCCTTCCCTAAGGTCCAGCTCTCACATCCGTAGGTGACTACAGGGAAGACCATGGCTTTGACTAGGATCTTTGTTGCCAGTCTGATGTCTCTACTCTTTACTATTTTATCGAGACTGGACATTGCTCTCCTCCCAAGAAGTAAGCGTCTTCTGATTTCCTGGCCACAGTCTGCATCTGCAGTAATCTTTGCGCCTCGAAATACAAAGTCTGTCACGGCCTCCACATTTTCTCCCTCTATTTTCCAGTTGTCAATCATTCTTGTTGCCATAATCTTGGTTTTTTTTGACGTTTAGCTGCAACCCAGCTTTTGCGCTTTCTTCTTTCACCTTGATTAGAAGGCTCCTCAGCTCCTCCTCGCTTTCGGCCATCAGAGTGGTGTCATCTGCATATCTGAGGTTGTTAATGTTTCTTCCAGCAATCTTAACCCCAGCCTTGCATTCATCAAGCCCCGCACATCGCATGATGTGTTCTGCATACAAGTTAAAAAGGTTGGGTGAGAGTATGCAGCCTTGCCGTACGCCTTTCCCAATCTCGAACCAGTCTGTTGTTCCATGGTCAGTTCTGACTGTTGCTACTTGGTCCTTGTACAGATTCCTCAGGAGAGAGACAAGGTGGCTTGGGATGCCCATCCCACCAAGAACTTGCCACAATTTATTATGATCCACACAGTCAAAGGCTTTAGAATAGTCAATGAAGCAGAAGTAGATGTTTTTCTGAAACTCCCTGCTTTCTCCATTATCCAGCGGATATTGGCAATCTGGTCTCTCGTTCCTCTGCCTTTTCTAAACCCAGCCTGAACATCTGGCAACTCTCGCTCCATGTATTGCTGGAGTCTTCCTTGCAGGATCTTGAGCATTACCTTACTGGCATGAGAAATAAGGGCCACTGTACGGAAGTTGGAGCAGTCTTTCGCATTTCCCTTTTTTGGTATGGGATATAAGTTGATTTTTTCCAGTCTGATGGCCATTCTTGTGTTTTCCATATTTGCTGGCATATGGCATGCATCACCTTGACAGCATCATCTTTTAAGATTTTAAACAGTTCAGCTGGGATCCCGTCGTCTTCTGCTGCCTTGTTGTTAGCAATGCTTCTTAAGGCCCATTCAACCTCACTCCTCAGGATGTCTGGTTCTAATTCATTCACCACACCGTCAAAACTATCCTCAATATTATAATCCTTCCTATACAGATCTTCTGTATAGTCTCGTCAGGGTAGATCCAGCCTGAGTCTGCACTACTCACATAATGCAATTCCAAACTGCATTAGATGGCAGTGTTGATGGGGCCCTTCCAAAGGAACAAAATTGCCTCCAGCCATTGAGCACGGGAAAGCAGATGCTAATGTTGGTGGAGCAGGCATCAAATGAGATTCCCTGACATAATCCCACCTCTCTGATATTGGGATGAAGTCGGGCCATCCACACGCATAGTCATAAACGGTTTCGTCCCGCCCTATCCTTGCTCACCGCAGGATGCACTTCTAGCCAGCTCCCTCCCGGTGCCCACTGCGCAGGCGCCGCGGCTCCCCGCTCCTCTCCTTCCTCCTGCTTCGCCAGACCAGGGAAGCCGAAGCCTCGCGCCAGGGGAGCCTCGCCCCCGGGGCCGCCGTGCCCGTAGCTGCTCCCTGGCGCTTCCATGCTCGAAGTGGGTGTGTCGCGGCTTCGCTCCGGCGGTGCCTCGACATTCTAAGCCCCCGCGGAACATGCTCGCGGGCTCCAAGGTTCCGATTTCAACTCTTTCAGTCTTTGAAGGAGGACTTTTTCAAGCACCGAGGGGGCAGGTCCTTGCCATTAGAGGTGGTGCGTCCTCGGAACAGCAAAACTATTACATATGCAGCCTCCTTCTGAGTATTTCCTAATCAAAATTGAGGGGGAAGCCGTTTTTATCATGCACTAGTTGTCCCCTGCCAAGCATTGCTGTGGCCCAGTCTGGTGATCTGGAAAATAAAGTAACGAGAAAGTGTGGGTTTCTAATATATGTAATTTCTTTATGCTTGTGGGTCAACAGTATTTCTTGTTGTTTCTTTGTCACTGTTGATGTGGAGATTGTGTGATTTGCCTACTCTGTAACATGCAACATATCATTGTCCTTCTTTAGGGGTCCCTCAACATCTACACAAATGACCAGCCACTGCCAGAAGGGACAGAGAGTTTCATCTATAGGTTCTTGTGGGTTTTTTCGGGCTATATGGCCATGTTCTAGAGGCATCTCTCCTGACGTTTCGCCTGCATCTATGGCAAGCATCCTCAGAGGTAGTGAGGTCTGTTGGAACTGGGAAGGGGCTTATATATCTGTGGAATGACCAGGGTGAGACAAAGGACTTTTGTCAGTTGGGCTAGGTGTGAATATTTCAACTGACCACCTTGATTAGCATACAATGGGCTGACTGTGCCTGGAGCAAACTCTTCTTGAAAGGTAATTAGATGTCCCTGCCTGTTTCCTCTCTGCTGTTTTTGCTGTTGCAATTTTAGAATTTTTTAATACTGGTAGCCAGATCTTGTTCATTTTCATGGTTTCCTCCTTTCTGTTGAAACCTGGATACAGCATTTTATTTGAGAACACAAAAATGCTGGACCACTCTCACAACCACCATGTCAGACTACACAGAGAAGCCATTGAGATACACAAACATGTGGACAATTTCAACAGAAAGGACTATAAACAATGGTTGAGTTTGGCCAATAAATCCTGTTCGCCTACGAACATAGCAATTCCATTCATACAGGGAAACTCAGCCCTTTATATTGCAGCACTCACCAACCCCATATACAGGAGAGACTATGTATTGGCTAGATTTAATACTATGCCATCTCTGCTCCATAGAGGAAGACTCAACGGTCTACTGAGTAACAAGAGGCTTTGTCCCTAGAATCATAGAATCAAAGAGTTGGAAGAGACCTCATGGGCCATCCAGTCCAACCCCATTCTGCCAAGAAGCAGGAATATTGCATTCAAATCACCCCTGACAGATAGCCATCCAGCCTCTGTTTAAAAGCTTCCAAAGAAGGAGCCTCCATCACACTCCAAGGCAGAGAGGTCCACTGCTGAACGGCTCTCACAGTCAGGAAGTTCTTCCTCATGATCAGATGGAATCTCCTCTCCCGTAGTTTGAAGCCATTGTTCCGCGTCCTAGTCTCCAGGGCAACAGAAAACAAGCTTGCTCCCTCCTCCCTGTGGCTTCCTCTCACATATTTATACATGGCTATCATATCTCCTCTCAGCCTTGTCTTCTTCAGGCTAAACATGCCCAGCTCCTTAAGCCGCTCCTCATAGGGCTTGTTCTCCAGACCGTTGATCATTTTAGTCGCCCTCCTCTGGACACATTCCAGCTTGTCAAGTAGTACAGGACAGCTGGATTCCATCCTGCATGTTCTTCTGCACTGCCCACTCTACCAGGAACCAAGATCTAGCTTGGTGCTACAAGTTATAGATTCTTTGAAAAACCATACCGACCCAGACAAAGTAACAAAGTAATTATGCTTTTAAACAGAGGCGGTCCTAGGTAATTTTCAATGGTAAGCAAACAGTATTTTGCCCCCCCCCCCCAACCAATCACTGATATATATATTTTCTGTTCGTCGTGGGAGTTCTGTGTGCCATATTTGGTTCAATTCCATCATTGATTCTTTGATTGTAGGTGAACTATACCTACAATCAACCAGTAACTACAACTCACATATGTCAAGGTCTATTTTCACCCAAGAGCGCCCCTGGGCAAAATCAACTATACTACAAATGCTTACTTTGCGTAATGGGTTGAGCCACCCCTGCTTTTAAACTGCCAAGATTTTAACTGATGCCTCAGTGGCAATGTTCCTGAATGAAGTCTGTAAAATGAACATGTAAAAATGTGAAGTTTCCTAATCAATAATTTATACTGTATTTTATACCGTCTTGTTGCATATGCCAATAAAGGCTTATTGGATTGGATTGGAATGACTCTAATTATCTGGGAGTTAAATATAACGAAATGTGCTTGTCAGCAATATTGGAAACTGTCCTGTATTGGAACATGTGTGCCTCCAATCTTTTACTCTGGATGGGTTGATCTGAAATAAGAAGAAATGCATACCACTCCATCAATATCTGTAATGTTCATTTGGGAAATGCAGTCTTATGCATGTCTGCTTAGAAATATTCAGAGTTCTTTGGGATTTACTCCCACACCCCCAGTGATGCAGTGGGTTAAAGTGCTGAGCTCCTGAGCTTGTTGACTGAAAGGTTGCAGGTTCGAATCCAGGGAGCAGTGTGAGCTTTCGCTGTCAGCACCAGCTTCTGCCAACCTAGCTGTGCAGGTACAACTGTACCAGGAGCTCCAATTTTGTTTGCTTTGCATTGAATGTTTGTTGTAGTCCTAAGTTTCAGGGACTCTGCAGATAGGTGGCTTCTTTTGGCTGCAATCATAGGGCAAGCCACCTGTCAATTATAGTTAGGTTCCCTGGTCCTGCCCCCTTTTTGGGGTTTTGGAGGGAATAGGAGCCTTTTTGGTTCAGTCCACACAGAGAAGCTTTCCATGCAGGACATAATACCAAGAGCTCCTGTAGAAAGCTTCGTCTTCTACGGCTTGGCCGGGGAGATATACAGCCCACAGCTTGGCCGGGGTTATACAGCCCTACAGCTCCTTTGCTGAAGGACTTCAGTCAGTCATCACGGAAACCTGAATTCTTTTTCTCCTGGAAGTCTACAAAGCTCTGCTTGGTAAGGGTCACTCGCGGAAGCCAGAAGCAGTTGGTACCAGAGGCAAAAACAGACTGCCCAGATTAGAAGTGAAGGATTTCCCCACTAGTTACAGTTATGAAGATAGTGCCTGTTCCCTGTGGACAAGATTGAGAGAGAGAGCCAATAGACTGTTAAGAAAGCCTTAAAGTACCTGTTTGTTTTCATTAATAAAGAACTTTGTTGAACCTTTAAGCAATCTAAAGACTCTGTTTAAGGAAATCCAAAGGCCTTTAATCTGAGGCAGCCCCGGCATCCTGTTGGGCACACAGAATTTATGTCCTGTCTACAGTCTTATGCACAGGCCCAGCGTGCGACAGCACACTAGCAGTTCAAAAACATGCAAATGTGAGTAGATCAATAGGTACCAGTCCGGTGGGAAGGTAACAGCACTCCATGGAGTCATGCCAGCCACATGACCTTGGAGGTGTCTATGGACAACGCCAGCTCTTCAGCTTAGAAATGGAGATGAGCACCACACCCCAGAGTCAGACACAACTGGACTTCATGTCGGGGGAAAACCTTTACTTTACCTAAATGTGTATAACTTTATAGTTTAACTGGAATCTTTAAAGAATCTTGCAATGATTTTCACTAAAACTTTCCTTGGGACCACTGGATGAGTTTTCATCTACATTTGGGCTCAGTAGTCGGAATTATCACTTAGAAATTGTTTTCTATCTGATAGATCTGTCTATCTAATGATTATAAAGAACTGGGAGGAGGGAAAGTTTAATTTTTATTGCAATTTTGAGACTCCTCGGTTGATTTATCCAGAGGTATTTAGAGCCCAGGTGTACTTTGGCTACAAACCCAGATTATCTTCCTGGCACACTAGAGCTACAGTCCAATATGCACTTTCTTGGATGTCAAGCACTATTTGATTTGACAGTATTTATGTCTGAGCAAACATGCATAAGATTGGACTGTGCATAGCCTGGACTATAAGTGGTGGATTGCTAAGCTTGCCTTCCAGTTTTTTAAAAAAAAAATGGAGATGGGCAGTTCTGATTGGGGATGACATTCCAAAATATTTGGGAAATGGCTGGAATTGTTTTTAATGTTGTTTATTAGTTCCTGGGTTGCAGTTAAACATAAAAAAACCAAGATTATGGCAACAAGAATGACTGACAACTGGGAAATACAGGGGAAAAATTGTGGAGGCAGTGACAGACTTTGCATTTCTAGGTGCAAAGATTACTGCAGACGTAGACTGCAGCCAGGAAATCAGGAGACACTTACTTCTTGGGAGGAGGGAAATGTCCAATCTCGATAAAATAGTGTAGAGACATCACTCTGGCAACCAAGATCCGCATAGTTAAAGCAATGGTATTCCCCGTAGTCACCTACGGATGTGAAAGCTGGAACTAATGGAAGGCTGAGCGAAAGAAGATAGATGCCTCCAATGAGTAGTCGGGCTTTATTTCCTGGAGGATGGACTGGTTGGATCTTCTCGCTGTCCAAGGCACTCTCAGAACTTTCCTCCAGCACCACAGTTCAAAAGCATCTATCTTCCTTCGCTCAGCCTTCCCTATAGTCCAGCTCTCACATCCATAGGTGACTATGGGGAATAGCATTGCTTTAACTATGTGGATCTTAGTTGCCAGTGTGATGTCTCTACTCTTCACTATCTTATCAAGATTGGACATTGCTCTCCTCCCAAGAAGTGCCTCCTGATTTCCTGGTTGCAGTCTGACATGATAGCCATGTACATGGTGAGGCAGCATAACTTCCTTTTTAAAAATGCGCGCCATTCAGTTCGTTGAAGACGTAGCGGAGCGCTAGTGGTCTCATTTGAGAGGCGGGAGTATAAAGATTTGTCTTGAAACAGTTCAGTCGCCATCATGCGTTGGAACAGTGAGGAGCGTGCTTTTGCCGTTGAGGCCTACTTTTCGAGCGGATTTGGAGAGGCCGGCCCGCTCTCCAGATTTGGTCCCTTGTGATTTTTTTCTATGGGTTTTTTTTAAATCCCGTGTTTATGTGAACCGTCCAAGGACCCTACAAGATTTGAAGACCAACATCCAGGAAGAAACTGCCAACATAACGCCTGCTATGCTGGCAAGAGTCATGACAAACGACAGAAATCGGTTTACTCAGTGTATGGAGAATGGGGGACGTCACCTACCTAATTTGATCTTCAAAACTACGTAAAACAAAACTTTAGGTATGCGCCTACATTATAAAATAAAAAAATAAAAATTTCTGATTCATACAATGGATTTTATTAAGTTTTGAAAAAAGGAAGTTATCTATAAATATGTGTGAGGAAGTCATAGGGAGGAGGGAGCAAGCTTGTTTTCTGCTGCCCTGTAGCAATGGCTTAAAACTTATTTATTTATTTATCGTGTCAGGAGCAACCAGACATTTGTATTACATTTTTAACCAAACAAACAGACAAAACACAAAGTTTGCAAGCTTGGTAGTTGATTAAATGTCCTTTGACCAGTATCTGGCCACTTGGAGTGCCTCTGGTGTTGCTGCAAGAAGGTCCTCCATTGTGCATGTGGCAGGGCTCAGGTTGCATTGCAGCAGGTGGTTAGTGGTTTACTCTACTCCACACTCACATGTTGTGGATTCCACTTTGTAGCCCCATTTCTGAAGGTTAGCTCTGCATCTCGTGGTGCCAGAGCGCAGTCTGTTCAGTGCCTTCCAAGTCACCCAGTTTTCTGTATGTCTCTCATCTGGTATCAGCCATGGATTGAGGTTCTGGGTTTGAGCCTGTCATTTTTGGACTCTTGCTTGCTGGGGTGTTCCAGCGAGTGTCTCTGTAGACCAGTGGTCCTCAACCTGTGGGTCCCCAGATGTTTTGGCTTTCAACTCCCAGAAATCCTAACAGCTGGTAAACTGGCTGGGATTTCTGGGAGTTGTAGGCAAAAACACCTGGGGACCCACAGGTTGAGAACCACTGCTGTAGACCTTAGAAAACTATTTCTTTCTTTTTTTAATTAAAATTTTTATTAGTTTGTTCATTTGCAATTGTACATGTAACAAAACCAAAAAACCGGGCACAGAATGTTAGAAGCAGCAATAAGAGGGAGATGCAATCCAAACCACTCATGAGATAGATTTATAACTTTGCAAAAGATACTCTCTCCAGCCACAAAGCTAAATTCTTTGCTCCTACTGTTTTCCTTGCCCCTTGCCTGCCTTAGCTAAGTGAGTGATGGTGGTACATCTTAATATTCAATTCTTCTAGTTTTAAACGCCACATCTTTCCTTCCACCCACAGCAGCTTTGCTCTACTTTCCCCTGTTGGGTCCCTTCTGGTCCTTCTCTTAGCATTACAGATCTCTTCTGCCAGCCTCCAGTATTTCTTGATTTAAGTGGTTGGTGTACTGGCTGATACCCAAACAGGGGATGAGCTGGAGATGTCACTGCCTTGGTCCTTTCACTATTGGCTGCTACTTCCCGGCAGATGTCAGGTGGTGCAATACCGGCTAGACAGTGTAGTTTCTCCAGTGCTGTAGGGCGCAGACACCCCATGATAATGCGGCATGTCTCATTAAGAGCCACGTCCACTGTTTTAGCGTGGTGAGATGTGTTCCACACTGGGCATGCATACTCAGCAGCCAGGTCTGAAGCCGGGGGGGTTAGGGGTTCAACACCCCCCCCCCCCGAAATTTTTCAGGTTAAAAAACCTGGTTTACTCATGAATTTTAACTGGTTAACCAAATCCCTATGCTAAGTCTATGAGACGCAAAAAATTAAGAGTCCCTCCAGAACTGCAAGCACTATCTCAAGCAAATATTGACAATTTATTCACACTGTCATTACTTGCAGCAATAGCCAATGTAGTGAAGCAGCCAAGTTGAATGCTCTCATTAAGGAGGCCAGACTTGGTGGAGGTGGTGGACAGGGGTGGAGCTGCAGACTATTGAAGGCTGCTCTGCCCCCTGCTGTGCTCTTTCCTTCAGCGTGACCCTAACCCCCCCCCCCAAATTTTCAACCCTCCCCCCCAAAAAATTCTGGCTACGGCCCTGTCAGCAGCAGAGTAGCATAGCGCAGGGGTCCTCAAACTAAGGCCCAGGGACCTGATACGGCCCTCCAAGGTCATTTATCCAGCCCTCGCTCAGGGTCAACCTAAGTCTGAAACGACTTGAAAGCACACAACAACAACAACAATCCTATCTCATCAGCCAAAACCAAGCCCACACTTTCCATTGAAATACTAATAAGTTTATATTTGTTAAAATTGTTCTTCATTTTAATTATTGTATTGTTTTAAGTGTTTTTTTGCAGCCACCGGGATTGTGGCACAGCAGGCTGAGTGTCAGCTGCATTAAGATCACTCTGACCGAAAGGTCATGAGTTCGAAGCCAGCCTGGGTTGTAGTGGGTTTCCAACCAATTGTGTGTAACCTGTTGTCGACCTTTGCAACCCGAAAGACAGTTGCATCTGTCAAGTAGGAAAATAAGGTACCACCTTAAAGTGTGGGGAGGCTAAATTAACTGATTTATGAGGCCATAAAGAAGACTCCAGCAAAGCATTCCAGCGGGGAAGCATGCGGGGAATGTGGAAGTGCTTCATCAGCGTCGCAGATGGACGATGAAAGCGACAGCTCCCCTGGCGGCCAGAAAAAAGTTAAATAGCCTCCGTGTATGTCTGTACATGTTTGTATGTCAAAAATTGGCATTGAATGTTTGCCATATATGTGTACACTGCAATCTGCCCTGAGTCCCCTGTGGGGTGAGAAGGGCAGAATATAAAAGCTGTAAATAAATAAATAAATAAATAAATAAGATATGTGCAGTGTGCACTGGAATTCATTCATGCTTTTTTCAAATTATAATCCAGCCCTCCAACAGTTTGAGGGACTGTGACCTGGCCCTCGGTTTAAAAAGTTTGAGGACCCCTGGCATAGCGCAAGAGTATATGTCTTTACTGAGGCTTAAAATTACAAGATGGGAGATTCCACCGTAGCTGTGAGAGCCGTTCAGCAGTGGCACTCTCTGCCCTGGAGTGTGGTAGAGGCTTCTTCTTTGGAGGCTTTTAAACAGAGGGTGGATGGCCATCTGTCGGGGGTGCTTTGAATGCAATTTTCCTGCTTCTTGGAAGGGGGGTTGGATTGGATGGCCGATTAGAGCAATGTCGGAGTTGTGACCTTTTGTAAAGGCACTCAAGACTTGGCTGTTTGGTTGTGCATTTAAGTGATCAGATCTAATTTGCCAAATAGTCACTGTTGAATGTTTTTATGTTGAATGTTTTTATATTGCGTAAATGCTATTTTAGATTGTAAGTCACTCGGAGCACCTTGGTGGAGAGCGACTAATTAAGAAATAAAGTGAAATGAAGATAAAGTGAAGTGAATATTAGGAAGAATTTCTTAACTGTGAGAGCCGTTCAGCAGTGGCACTCTCTGCCCTGGAGTGTGGTAGAGGCTCCTTCTTTGGAGGCTTTTAAACAGAGGCTGGATGGCCATCTGTCGGGGGTACTTTGAATGCAATTTTCCTGCTTCTTGGAAGGGGGGTTGGATGGCCTATGAGGTCTCTTCCAACTGTATGATTCTATAAGCAGACAATCTGGGACCAGATCCTGTGCTATATAGAATCATAGAATCAAAGAGTTGGAAGAGACCTCATGGGCCATCCAGTCCAACCCCCTGCCAAGAAGCAGGAATATTGCATTCAAATCACCCCTGACAGATGGCCATCCAGCCTCTGTTTAAAAGCTTCCAAAGAAGGAGCCTCCACCACACTCCGGGGCAGAGAGTTCCACTGCTGAACGGCTCTCACAGTCAGGAAGTTCTTCCTCATGTTCAGATGGAATCTCCTTTCTTGTAGTTTGAAGCCATTGTTCCGCGTCTTAGTCTCCAAGGAAGAAGAAAACAAGCTTGCTCCCTCCTCCCTGTGGCTTCCTCTCACATATTTATACATGGCTATCATATCTCCTCTCAGCCTTCTCTTCTTCAGGCTAAACATGCCCAGCTCCTTAAGCCGCTCCTCATAGGGCCTGTTCTCCAGATATATAGGGCAGTGTGGATCCAGGCTCTGCTTCCTTGACCCAAAGGAGGGCAGTGGAGGGTCTGGGCAGAGCCTCTCTCCTCCTCTCCTCCAGCGGTGGGCCTTTCCCCGCTGCTGCTTGGCTGCCACCAGGACTCCTGCCTGTCCTCCTGGGCTGCCAGGAAGAGAAAGCACGCTTTGTTTGTTTTTATTTGCCTCCCGAGCTGCACCGAGGAGGCCGGGCGGCGGGACTGGGCCCACCAATCCGCCAAAGGCCCAGAAGCGACTCCTCCTCCTCCTCTTGCTACTCTTGGAGCAAACTCTTTGCGCGAGACAGTCCCAGGCTCCTGAAAGATGGCTGAAGGGAGCGCGCGCTTTTCCTCCACGTTGAGGCGGCGACGGCGGCAACAAGCCCTGCTTCTTCTCCTGCTCCTGCCTCACCTTTCCTTCTCCTTCGGCGCCGAGGAGGAAGGCGGCCCCCAGGGCTCTCCCTTGCCTGAATCCGCCTTGCAGAAGCCCACCGTCTTCCTCGCCCTCCTGGCCAGAAACGCCGCCGGCTCCTTGCCCCACTTCCTTGGCTGCCTGGACAGGCTGAGGTACCCCAAGGCCAGGATGGCTGTCTGGTGAGTGGCAGGAAGGAGGGAAAGGGAGGGAAAGGCAGCTGGACACCGTCCACATTGAGCTGGGTTAGATGGCACTTTGGACTCAGTTCAAAGCAGATATTGTGGATTCTCTGCCTAGATATTCGGGGTTACATGGCTGTGAGGAAAGGTCCCAAGTACTAGGTAGTGAGAACACAGAAATGCTGGACCATTCTCACAACCACCATGTCAGACTACACAGAGAAATCCACAAGCATGAGGACAATTTCAACACAAAGGAAGAGACCATGAAAATGAACAAAATCTGGCTACCAGTATTAAAAATACTCTAAAATTACTACAGCAAAACAGCAGAGAGGAAACAACCAGGCACAGCTTAACACCTCTCAACAGAACATTTTCCCAGGCTCAGGCAGGCCTTCAAATGCTAATGAAGGTGGTCAGTTGAAACATTCACACCTAGCTTCAGCATTGAGCTCTTTGCCCCACCCCAGTCATTCCTCAGATATATAAACCCATTTTCCTAGTTCCAAACTCTAAAATTATTACAGCAAAACAGCAGAGAGGAAACAACCAGGCACATCTTATCACCTCTCAACAGAACATTTTCCCAGGCTCAGGCAGGCCTTCAAATGTTAATGAAGGTGGTCAGTTGAAACATTCACACCTAGCTTCAGCATTGAGCTCTTTGCCCCACCCCAGTCATTCCTCAGATATATAAACTCATTTTCCTAGTTCCAAACTCTAAAATTATTACAGCAAAACAGCAGAGAGGAAACAACCAGGCACATCTTAACACCTCTCAACAGAACATTTTCCCAGGCTCAGGCAGGCCTTCAAATGCTAATAAAGGTGGTCAGTTGAAACATTCACACCTAGCTCCAACAGAGAAGAGCTCTTTGCCCCACCCCAGTCATTCCACAGATATATAAACCCATTTTCCTATTTCCAAACTCTAAAATTACTACAGCAAAACAGCAGTGAGGAAACAACCAGGCACATCTTAACACCTCTCAACAGAACATTTTCCCAGGCTCAGCCAAGTCTTCAAATGCTAATGAAGGTGGTCAGCTGAAACATTCACACCTAGCTCCAGCAGAGAAGAGCTCTTTGCCCCACCCCAGTCATTCCACAGATATATAAACCAATTTTCCTATTTCCAACAGACCTCACTACCTCTGAGGATGCTTGCCATAGATGCAGGCGAAACGTCAGGAAAAATGCCTCTAGAACATGGCCATATAGCCCGAAAAAACCCACAAGAGTCCCAAGTACTCTTTGGCAGAGAGGGCTCAAGGCATTGTGAAACCAGAACTCCTTGGGATTCCCTGGAGCCCTGCAGTGGGATCAAACTGCGTTAGTTCTACAGTGTAATCAGGGGTCCACAAACTTTTTAAGCAGAGGGCCAGGTCACAGTCCCTCAAACTGTTGGAGGGCCAGATTATAATTTGAAAAAAATGAATGAATTCCTATGCACACTGCACATATCTTATTTGTATTGCAAAAAATACTTAAGAATCACTGGGTTGTTGTAGGTTTTTTCGGGCTATATGGCCATGTCTAGAGGCATTCTCTCCTGACGTTTCGCCTGCATCTATGGCAAGCATCCTCAGAGGGAGTGAGGTCTGTTGGAACTAGGAAAAAGGGTTTATATATCTGTGGAATGACCAGGGTGGGACAAAGGACTCTTGTCTGTGGAGCTAGGTGTGAATGTTTCAACTGACCACCTTGATTAGCATTTGATTGCCTGGCAGTGCCTGGAGCAATCTTTTGTTGAAAGGTGATTAGATGTCTGTGTTTGTTTTCTCTCTGTTTCAACTATCTCTACAAGAACTTAAAATACAAAAGCTTGTGAATAAGTAGACAAATTACGTTTTCATGGTTTCCTCCTTTCTGCTGAAATTGTCCACATGCTTATGGATTTTAGTGGCTTCTCTGTGTAGTCACACATGGTGGTTGTTAGAGTGATCTAGCATTTCTGTGTTCTCAAATAATATGCTGTGTCCAGGTTGGTTCATCAGGTGCTCTGCTATGGCTGACTTCTCTGGTTGAAGTAGTCTGCAGTGCCTTTCATGTTCCTTCATTCGTGTTTGGGCAATACTGCGTTTGGTGGTTCCTATGTAGCCTTGTCCACAGCTGCATGGTATACGGTAGACCCCCTAGTACTCTTTGGCAGAGAGGGCTCAAGGCATATTGAAACCAGAACTCCTTGGGATTCCCTGGAGCCCTGCAGTGGGATCAAACTGCGTTAGCTCGACAGTGTAAATCAGGGGTCCACAAACTTTTTAAGCAGAAGGCCAGATCACTGTCCCTCAAACTGTTGGAGGGCCAGATTATAATTTGAAAAAAACATGGATGAATTCCTATGCACACTGCACATATCTTATTTGTAACTAGCTGTCCCCTGCCACACGTTGCTGTGGCCCAGTCTGGTGATTTGGAAAATAAAGTAATGAGAAAGTGTTGGTTTCTAATATATGTAATTCCTTTATGCTTGTGAGTAAACAGTATTTCTTGTTGTTTCTTTGTCAGTGTTGATGTGGAGAGTGTCTGGTTTGCCTACTCTGGAATATGCAACATATCATAGTCCTTCTTTAAGGGTCTCTTTCAAATCTGTGATACTATATCTGTGTGTGTGTGTGAGAATCATATCTATCTATCTATATTTATGACTGGATGGCTCTTTGTCAGGAGGGCTCTGATTACATTTTCTTGCCCTGATGAAGAGAGTTGGACTGGATGGCCTTAAGCATTTTCTTTTGGTCATGGGGATTCTGTGTGGGAAGTTTGTCCCATTTCTGTCGTTTGTGGGTTTCAGAATGCTCTTTAATTGTAGTGAACTATAAATCTCAATAACTACAAATCCCAAATGTCCAGGTCTATTTCTCCTAAACCCCATCTATGTTCATATTTGGGCATATGGAATATTCGTGCCAAGTTTGGTCCAGATCCGTCCTTGTTTGAGTCCACAGTGCTCTCTGGATGTAGGTGAACTACAACTCCCAAACTCAAGGTCAATGCCCACAAAACCATTCCAGTGTGTTCTGTTGGTCATGGAAGTCCTGTATGCCATGCTTGGTTGAGTTCCATCATTGGTGGAGTTCAGAATGCTCTTTGATTGTAGGTGAACTATAAATCCCAGCAACGACAATTCCCAAATGACAAAATCAATTTTTTTGAGTGGAGGACATACATTGGGTTGTTAGGTGTCTTGTGTCCAAATTTGGTGTCAATTCCCCCAGTGGATTTTGAGTTCTGATGGTAGCACAAACGAACATTACATTTTTATTTATATAGATGCAAAAAACACTTTAAAACAATACAGTAATTAAAATGAAGAACAATATGAGGCAGGATTGTTGTTGTTGTGTGCTTTCAAGTCGTTTCAGACTTAGGTAGACTTTGAGTGAGTGCCGGGTAAATGACCTTGGAGGGCCATATTCGGCCCTCGGGCCTTAGTTTGAGGACCCCTGGCCTAGATATTCGGGGTTACATGGCTGTGTGGAAAGGCCCCAAGTATAGAATCATAGAATCAAAGAGTTGGAAGAGACCTCATGGGCCATCCAGCCCAACCCCCTGCCAAGAAGCAGGAATATTGCATTCAAAGCACCCCTGACAGATGGCCATCCAGCCTCTGTTTAAAAGCTTCCAAAGAAGGAGCCTCCACCACACTCCGGGGCAGAGAGTTCCACTGCTGAACGGCTCTCACAGTCAGGAAGTTCTTCCTCGTGTTCAGATGGAATCTCCTTTCTTGCAGTTTGCGTCCTAGTATTCTTTGGCAGAGAAGGCTCAAGGCATTGTGAAACCAGAACTCCTTGGAATTCCGGGAGTCCTGCAGTGGGATCAAACTGCATTAATTCGACAGTGTAGATTTATTTATTTACTAGCCATCCGCTGCCACACATTGCTGTGGCCCAGTCTGTGTATATGTGTTTTGTGTGTGTATATATGTGTATGAGTGTATATATGTGGTTTTATGCATGCGTTGTAATGTAATTTTTTTTGTTGTTTTTTTTATTCTCTTTCACTGTGCTTTTCGGTGTTTTTATGAGTGATGGTCACTTGTTGGCCTGATAGGTGTATTTTGTCCAAATTTCGTGTCAATTCTTCTAGTGGTTTTTGAGTGGGACATAGAAGGAGATATGTTCAGACAGGCACAGTTCCAATGGGGTGTTGTGTGGTTTCTGAGGTGTATGGCCATGTTCTAGCAACATATTCTCCTGATGTTTCATCTGCATCTGTTCTGTGACTGGCATCTTCAGAGGATCTGAAGATGCAGGGGTGATTTTTAATGCAATATTCCTGCTTCCTGGCAGTGGGTTGGACTGGATGGCCCGTGAGGTCTCTTCCAACTCTTTGATTCTATGATCTAATGGTAGCGAAGGAAGATAGATGCTTTTGAGCTGTGGTGTTGGAGGAAAGTTCTGAGAGTGCCTTGGACTGCGAGAAGATCCAACCAGTCCATCCTCCAGGAAATAAAGCCCGGCTGCTCATTGGAGGGAAGGATACTAGAGACAAAGTTGAAGTACTTTGGCCACATCATGAGGAGACAGCAAAGCCTAGCAAAGACAATTATGCTGGGGAAAGTAGAAGGTAAAAGGAAGAGGGGCCGACCAAGGGCAAGATGGATGGATGGCATCCTTGAAGTGACTGGACTGACCTTGAAGGAGCTGGGGGTGTTGATGGCCGACAGGGAGCTCTGGCGTGAGCTGGTCCATGAGGTCACAAAGAGTCAGAGGACTGAACGAATGAACAACAACATGATCTGATGGTAGATGCGAGCCACAGATTTAGGTGAAACATCAGGAGAATATGCTGCTAGAACACGGCTATATGGCCCGGAAACCACAAAACGCACATTGATTTCAGCGTGAAAGCGTTTGACAAAGCAATCCTTCCATTAATTTCAAGACAGGCCAATGTTTATCATCATCTCTGAACTTGGAAGCTAGGAAGAGTTAATACTTGAATGGGGGATTGCCAATGAATATCGGATGCTGTAAGCAATATTAAATAGGTCT